TTTTTTTTAAATCTTAATATTTTACTATTTCTAATTAAATTCATTTAAAATTGAAATTTTACAATATTTAAATTGCAAACGCAATTTTTTTAAAATTGAATTAATTTTGAAATATTTAGGTGAAATTAGATTTCAAGAATAAACTTTAGAAAACAACAATTTTCCAGGATTTCGATCAAAATTCCCTGACTTTTCCAGATTTTTCAAGGTTTATAAAATTTCCTGACATTTCCAGATTTTCCAGGTTTGCTTAGCAACCCTATTTGATGTAAAATATATTTAATAAAATGATTTATTTAAATTCTTTATATTTTTTTGTATTTTTAAATATTGTACCTATTTTAACAAATTTTATACTATTATTTAAATTTGTTTAATATTGATTATTCTTTTTAAAAGTTAGCCTTTCTTTTTTTTTTAGAGAAAAAAACACATATTTTATAGGGCGAAGATTTTTGTTCTCTATAGAAGAAACAATGAGATAGTCTCTATTTTTTACCCCTTGTGTCAGTCAGCTGCCCCATTTCTTATAAGAGAGGAGATAAAACAAAATAAGGAAGAAATAAAAAGAAGGAATGAATCGCTCTTGACTTGAAGTACAAATGGTCTAGATATCTACTTCAAGACCCTTTTTGCGTGTGTGAATCTATATCACAACATAAAAATCGAATAAGCACTAAACTTTAATTGAGAATTAGTCTTACATAAACATTATATACATATTATTTTCCTAAATTTCCTAAGAAAATAATCAGGTTTATTTATAAAAAATTTCAAAAGAATTACATAAGATTTATAGATTTTAATTTATTATTTACTTTTTATCATCCCCTCGCTGAAATAATTCATATTATGTAATCTATTATTTAATTTAATATAAAGCTCCGAGTAATTTAAGGTAAAGAATGTGACTTTAAATATTTATTTTCCATTACAATAATTCTGTTCCAATTAGATATCTACATTTAATATATGTATTATTTACTTCCTTTAGTTCTGCTTAAATTGTTATTATTATTATTATTATTCAGTAGATTATTAACAGACGTATGCTATTGATTTTTTAATTGAGTTATTACAATTTAGTTGCTTTTATTAGATTAAGTAATCCTTGTTCGATGTGAATAAAATTATTTGTATGAAATTATTTTTATAAAAGTTAATGAAATGGGCTTCAAATACTGAATATAATTGGTTTAAATACAAATGGGACTGAATTTAGAAATAACTTCAAATATAATAAATTTAAATAAGTGCAAATTTTGAAGAAAAACAATTGGCTTTCAGTGTTATAAATCTAATATAGTAAATCGTATAGGAAATCGTAAAAAAGTAGTAAATAGTAGATTTTAGTAGATGAATGCGAAACCATATGAATCAAATAAATATTTTCTCACTGTAAGTGACGAACCAAATCGTGTTTATAACTAACAAATCTAAACCATCCCGAATTTTTTCCGAACACAATAACAATGTATATCTTCCTCGTATTTACTATATATATAATAAATGATACGTTCGTTAATTAAATTTAACAGTAAACTACATTATCAGCCTTTCACGTAAAATTGCTAATACATAATATACAATTTGAAGGATGGAGCAGTAATGCATAATTTATATATAAATTGGTAGCAATTTCATGAGCATAATGAGTCCTTATGACAAGGAAATTGGATTTTAGGGTGTTTGGACAAGTCAGCGGTTTGGACAATATTCAATCTATATTATTGCAACATAACCCCCAATACCAAAATTTTCTCTTTCCCTGTTCCCTGGCTGCGAGAGCCGTCGAGAGATGTTTGCTGCTGTGGATGAGGCGCTATACTTAATATCACACCCACGTGTATCCTATTCAAGTCGAGTGCAACTTCTATATTCAAAGATAAGAGAAATGGGGTCACAGATACTTAAGGAGACCTTTTCTCAACTACCAGAGTGGGAATGATCTAATTAAATGATTTTTTTATAAATCAAGATAAGTCAATTTCAACAAGTTCTACATATTATTCCATATCATTATTTACGCAACTACCACTCCTATATATGTGTATAGAATACAATCAATTATTTTAAATACTCTCTGTATATGTGTACATATTTAAATGTTTTCATTTAGCGGATGTTTTCAATTCAATTATATTCCGTATGGTACATGAAAGATTAAATTTCTGCACCCAGAGAAATGGTATATTTGTCTCAGAATCAACTAGACTTTTTATTTGTTTCAAATAAATTTTATTTGGTTTAAATAAAATTTTTATTTAAAACAAATAAAAAGTCTAGTTGGTTCTGAGACAAATATACGTTTATTTAACTCAAATAAAATATATTTGGTTTAAATAATATTTTTCTCTGGGTGTGAATATGCGATTGGTTTATAATATAGAATATTCATTTTCTGGTAAGAGCGCCAAGGTAATGCTAATGAAATCAAAAATACCTTTATAAACGATAACCACGCACTAATATGTTTTTTAAAATAGAAAATTATTACTCATTTTCCATTTCAGAGCACAGTTTTCTTGAAAGTATCAAAATTGATACCCAATGGGATCAAAATAATACTAAAAATTAAGAACAAATTAGGATTTGATTCACGTTTTGGTATAAATTCGTTACAATTTGATACTTTTACAGGGTTGGTTGCCACGCATTTGCTTTTTTTAAATTTCCTGACTTCTCTAGGCTCTCCAGGTTAAAAAAAGGCATTTTTCCAGGTTTTTAAAACGAAAATTATTCAAAAACATTAATAACTTCATTTTTAAATAAATATTTAATCATTATTTTTTTATAGAAATTAAGATATTCAAAAATTTGAAATTCAATAATTCAAACTTGCTACTTTGTTACTGCAACTTCTTCAGAAATTATTTTCATCATTACGATTATTCTTTTCTAGAATTTTCAACTAAAATTCTTCAATTTTTTAAAAATAATTTTTGAAAAAGTTCTTTGTGAATTTTTGAATTCTTGTTTACAATTTAATTTTACGAAATTTCGATTATTCTGACATTCTTCAATTAAATATATTAGAAATTAAAAACTTCAAATAATTAAAAAGAAATTCCATTAAACTTATTGAGAAAAGATAATTCTATAGAATTCTTAATTAAAAGTATGAAAAGTTCAAATTTTCAAAGATTTTAATTTGAAATTCATTTTTAAATCAATATTTATTAGAAAATTCTACGAGAATTCAATTATTTAATTATAAAAATAACTATTTTATTAAACAATTGATTATTTCTTAAAATTGAATTTTCATTAAGAATTTTATCAACAAATTTGTAAATAATTGACAATTTTTAATAATATTTTTAAGAATAATTGCATTTTTCGAGAAATTAGATGAAAATTGGATTAAAAATAATTGAAAATTCTTCAATGAAAATAATTGAAACATCAAAAAAAATTTTATTATTTATGAAAATAATTAAATTCTTCAAATGAATTTTAGTAAAAATTATTTAAGTAATTGAATTCGTATGAAGAATTTTAGTCAATATTTTTTTTTAAATAATTTAATTCCTACTGAGAATTTTAATTGATTATAAAAATAATTTAATGCTTGTAAAGAATTTTATTATGTGTAAAAATAATTGAATTTTTCAAAGAATTTTAGTAAAATTACTAAAAATAATTGTATTTCTGCATAAAATTTTTTTACATTTGAAAATAATTGAATTCTTGTTATGGATATTGTTTTATTTATGAAAATAATTGAATTTCGGAGAATAATTTTATGATTTGTGAAAATAATTTAATTCCTGTAATGAATTTTATTAAAATTCCTAAAAATGATTAAATTTCTGTGAAGAGTTTTGTTATACATATTTATAAAGATAATTTAATTCTTGACAAGATTTTCTTTAAAATTTTTGTAAATAATTGAATTTATGGGAAGAATTTGTTTAATTTTGAAAATAATTGAATTCTTGTGATGAATATTATTATTTATAAAAATAATTGAATTCTGTATAGAATTTTTCTTGAAATTTCTAAAAATAATTGAATTTCTCTTAAGAATTTTTTTTTATAAAGATAATTGAATTGTTAACAAGATTTTCGTTAAATTTCTTGAAAATAATTGAATTCTTGTGATGAATATTATTATTTATAAAAATAATTGAATTTTGCAAAAAATTTTATTAAAATTCTTTAAAATAATTAAATTTCTGAGAAGAATTTTGCTATTTATAAAAATAATTAAAATGTTGACGTAAATTTTTGAAAATTTTTAAACATAATTGGATTTCTGTGAAGAATTTTATTAAAATTATTTTGAAGAAAATTGAATTGTTACACAAAGAATTTCATTAAAATTTTTGAAAATAATTTTATTCTTTAAAGAAATTTAATTAAAAATGTATTGAAAATAAAACTTAAATTCTAATAAATAAATTGTAGCAAAGGTTATTAGAATAATTAAATTTTTTTAATAAATTTTAATAAAATTTTCAAGAATAATAACTTTTTTCGAGGAATTCCATTAAAATTGTATTAAAAATAAATGAAATTCAGCATTGAATTTTATTATTTATGAAAATAGTAATAGATATTAAAAATCATTTAATTGAGGAAAGCTTTTGAAAATAAATAAAATTTTACCAAGAATTTTATGAAAATTTTTGAAAATAATTGAATTATTTCTGAGAAGAATTTTACTACTTTTGAAAATAATTGAATTTCTGCAATCATTTGCCATTGCTTCAAAATTAAATTTGATTTAGTGTTTTTAGTGTTTTCGATGAAATTGCGATAATATATTTAAAAAGGAAAAGAAAACAATTGACGAGATTAATGTTTTAATTATCATAAATACCTCATACCTTGTCAGCCTGTAGGTATCTCCATCTTCATCTTTGGCTCGCCTTCGAACATGTCAGAAACACCAACACACACACACACGAGCTTAAAAATTTCCGAACTGTAAATTTAGTGAAAGAAAAAAATTCTACGACTAATAAACGATCGCGATTTAAAAAAACATTTGAAAACTCCCGAACAAAAAAATTTTTTTTAGAATAAAAAAATTGTTGAATTGCTTATAAAATTTTCACCAATCGAGATTTAAAATTAATCGAACACTCCCGAAATTGTGGACTCTGAAACAGAAAAAAATATTTGATATATAAATATCGTGTGGAGGAAAATTTTAAAACACAATATAAACATTAATAATGGACATGTACACCGAAAGCTATGAATATTAACCAGCATTGTGACAATACGCGAGGGGTTGCATAACAATATGTCAACACTTTTTTTAATGTATTGTTTAATTTTTTATTTCAATTTATGTTTGAAGGTGCTCTCTTGTCTGAAATAACGAACGAAAAAGAAGTATTGCGTTCTAAAAAATTCACGTACATTTAATAAAATTTACGAAAACAATCCAGGTACCATGGTGTCATAAACCCATTCTTGAATAGGGACTTCAAACAATAGATGGACAACACCATTGTTTTGATTTTGAAGTTGGTAATCTTTGAGACAATCACCTTCTCTCTCTAAACATTTCGACTATATGAAATAAGACCTCTTCATTTCTTACAAATATACCACCAAACAAAATTTTTGTAAATTAAATTTTAACGTTAAAGTTTTTTTGTTTAAAACAAAAATTAAATTTTGAAAAATTTATAAATTTTTTGAAGCTAAAATCTTTACACAATTGTCCGTAAATGGTCCGTAATTTTTAATTTTTGGTCCGTAAAGTTTGTATTTTTAAATACTTTCACTGGTTCGACCCCTGAAAATATCTAATTTTAAAATTTAATTTCCAAAATTAATGGGTTGCTGATATGTAACTCCTTAAGGAGGTCAGTATCATGTTCATATAATTTGAAATAACAATTTAAAATTGAAAACAATAGAATATAAATAATTTTCTCATTTGTATTATAATCAAAAACAGAAAAAATATCGTATATGATATTGTTTTTATTTTTGAAAATTAAGTATCAGCTTTGACACATTTTTGACAAATCTATCACCAGGGAACACCATCGATAATATCATTCAATACATAAATATGATTATCATTCCCAATTATAGAAAATGACATCAAAATAACTATTGATGAGCTCTGAAATAAATTGACTATTAAATTATAAATATTTGATGAAGGTAATAATAATTTCTATAAATTACTTCCCTATACACTTTGCGGAATTAGAAAATTGTATATAATCATGTATAATAAATCAAATTATGGTGTTATACTCAGTAGAATGTTTTCCTCCACAGTTTAATATCATTTGAATGCATAATTGTCAGAAACACAATTACAACAACTTGTGGTTATCATTAATATCGTTTCAACTCATGGCTTTCATTAATGATGAGCCAACTCGTGCTCAATTATATTATATATTATAATTGCAAAAAAAAAAATCACCTACTCTATTCCATTATAAAATATTTCAAGCGACGACGACAAATTTTGTCATCGCTTGAAATATTAATTATTAATTATAAATATTAATTTCCAAATAATTTTATTTTCAATGCGGTTTCTTTTTTTCTAATTTTGGATTAATTACTCTTTGTAATAATTAAACCGACAAAAATTCATTTCAGTTCAACAAGAATCGACATCTAAAAGTAATTTACAAACAGTGCTCACAACGTTTTTCGTTTTATTGAACCAATACTGTCCGAAGCCTCAATTGATTTATTAAAGGCAAGTCGTAGAACTGCTTTTCCTATCATTTAACAGTCCAATCCTTTAAATCTTGTGAAAAATCAATTTAGTTTACTTTCCAAGATGTTCTTGAGTATTAAATCAACTTTCAATGAAAAAAAAAAATCCAATCAAAGATAAAAAGAATTTTAATAACAGATTTCATTGGCTCAAAGCTTTAATTTAATTTAAAAAAATGTAGCGTATTTCGAAAAATTAATAATCGAAAATTTTAAATGAAAAAGAAATTTTTTAATTTGAAAATAGCGTAAAAGTAAGTAAAGCAATATTTACAATTTCTCTATTAATATTTTATTACTTTCTTCTTTTTAGTGTTTTATCAATTTTCCTTCATATATCTCATTAGTAAATTATAATCTATCAGTTGATTTTTCAATTCCTTTCACAGCTTCTCCGTTATCCAATTAAATGTACCTTCGAATTGTTACTTTCATTTCTAATTAATACATGTACAAATATATATGGTTATCTAGATAAACTTTTGGGGTAATAATCGAGTAAAATACGGTTGATTGCTTTAATTTAATTAGCGAAAAACATTGTCAAAGCGATTAAAATTTTTACTTAATAAAATCAAAACTATAATTTGCAAATGTAGTCTCTCGTATATATCACTGTATTATTTTTGTTTTCGAAATTCGCTAAACATATGTGGCTCCAATTTGGATTATTAAAAAGAGTCTCAAAATTATTTTTATCAAAACAGTCCAATTCATGCCTTAAATAAAAACAATAACAATTTTTTTTACATTCTCATCATATGAGAAAGTATTTTTTTATAATAATTGATAATTTTCAACTCTATTATATAACTATTTTTGTTTCTAAAACGGTCAGTAAAAGTCCGTTTTTTTTAAAAAAAGGTCCGTAAAGTCCGTAATTTAATTGAAAAGCAACGAAAAGTTCGCAAATTGTACGATATAATTTGGAGAATTTTAGAAAAATTACAAATAATCGCAGAAATTCAATAATTTCCAAAAATAATAAAAACCTTCGCAAAAATTCAATTATGTTCAAAATTTTTTTTAAAAATTCTCGTCAAAATTTAAATTCTTTTTAGAAATAATAAAACTCTTCTCCGAAATTAAATTATTTTCAAAAATTTAAATAAAATTCTTGGCAAAAAATAATTAAATAATTATTTTCATAAAATAATTAAAATTTCGCAGGCATTCAACTATTTACAAATTTTCTATAAATTTCTTCGCAATAATTCAATTATTTTCATAAATAATAAAATTTTTACAAGAATTCGACTATTCTCGTAAATAATAAAATGCTTTTTAGGAATTCAATTATTTTCATAAACAATAAAAGTCATTGCAAAATTTCAATTATTTTTAATATACAATTTTAATCAAGTTCCTCAAAAAATGTAATTATTCTTAAAAATTAAAATTCGTCGAAACATATATGTGAAACAACAAATTATTTATAAAATTATTTATAATATTTGAATTATTAAAAACATTCAATTATTCAATAAATTATTTTTTTGCATTACAAATGCAGAAATTTAATTATGTTCAAAAATAATAAAATTCTTCTTAGGAATTCAATTATTTTCAACAAATAATAAAACTTTTTGCAGAATTTCAATTATTTTGAATACAATTTTAAACAAATTTCTTGAAAAATGTAATTATTTTTAAAAATTTTGTTAAAATTCGTCGAGAGAATTTACTTATTTAAAAATTTATTTGATAAAATTCTTCACGAGCATTTATTTTTAAGAAACATTCAATCAATTCATAAATTATTTATTTTTATATTTAAATAATTGAATTCTAGTAAATTTTTCTAATAAAAATTGATTTAAAAATAAATTTTAGTTAAAATTTTACATAATAATTGAATATTAAGAGCATTTTATGATAAATTTTTAGAAATAATTAAATTTAGAAAAGGTTTAATTTTAAAAATTGGCAAAATTTTAACTATATTTTCAAAAATACTCTACAATTCAATGATTTTCAATATCTACCAATTTAATAAAATTTTCTAGAAGAATTCAATTATTTAAAATAAAGTTAATTATTTTTATTAATAATAAAAATTTCACATGAATTCAATTATTTACAAATTTTTTTTATAAATTTCTTCGCAATAATTCAATTATTTTCATGAAAAAATAACATTTTTACAAGGATTTAATTATTTTCGCTAATAATGAAACTCATCGTAGAATTTCAATTATTTTTAATTTAATTTTAATTGAATTTCTCAAAAAATCTATAAGTATTCGTTAAAAATTTTATTAATCTCGTCGAAAGAATTTAATTATTAAAAAATTTGTTGATAAAATTCAATTTTATCAAAAATTCAATTATTCAATAAATTATATATTTTTGTATTTTAATAATTAAAATCCACTAGAATCTTCTAATAAAAACTGATTTAAAAATGAATTTTAGTTAAAACTTTTAGGTAATAATTGAAAATTAAAAGCATTATAGCACTAATTTTGGAAATCATTGCAGAAATTCAATTATTTTCAAACATAATAAAATTCTTAGTAAGAATTTAATTATATTCAAAATCTTTTTGAAAACTTCAATTATTTTTAAAAATAATAACATTTTTCTCCAAAATTCAATTATTTTAGAAAATTTTAATAAAATTCTTGGTAAAATTTTAATTATTTTCAAAAATTTTAATATAATTCTTGACAAAGTTTCAAAAATTTCCTTAAATATTTACTATTTTAATAAAATTTTCCAAAATTGTTTGTATTATATTTTTAAAATAATACTTTCTCATGTGATGAGAATGTAAAAATTAAATAGAAGACTACGCAATAATTCAATTATTTGTAAAAATAATGAAATTTTTTACAGGAATTCAATTATTTTCATAAATAATAAAATTCTTTTTAGGAATGGAATTATTTTCATAAATAATAAAATTCTTCGCAGAAATTCAATTATGTTCAAAATTTTTTTAATATTCTCGTAAAATTTCAATTATTTTTATAAATAACAAAAATTCTTCTCCGCAATTCAATTAGTTTCAAAAATTTTAATGAAATTCTTGGCAAAATTTTAATTATTTCCAAAATTTTCCTGCATTCAATAATTTTCAATATTTACTATTTTAATAAAAATTTTCAAAAGAATTCAATTATTTAAAAAACAATTTAATAAAATTCTAGGCAAACATTTAACAATTTTTATAAATAACATTTTTTACAAAGATCCAATTATTTCCATTAATAATAACATTTCTGGTAGGAATTCAATTTTCATAAACAATAAAATTCAATTATGTTCACAATTTTTTTTAAATTCTCCTCAAAATTTCAATTATTTTTAAAAATAATTCAATTTTTCTCCAAAATTCAATTATTTTCAAAAATGTTAATAAAATTCTTGGAAAAATTTCAATTTTTTCCACAAATGT